ACAAATAATTTTCTTTCAAACAAAAATGGTTAAAACAAAAGAATTAAATGCTAAACAATATGAAGCAATTCTTTACGGCCACAAACGAGGTGATTCATATCAAAAAATTGCTGACATTGTTCAATGTGGTAAAACAACTGTCCATGATGCCATAAAACGTTTTAAAGAAACTAGTTCTGCAATACCAAAAAAACGTTGTGGCCTGAAGCCACTTTTTGATTCAAATGCACAATCTTCACTCAAAAAGATTGTTACACAAAATTTAAAGCATCATCGCCTTACCACACATGTATAGCAACTGAAGATAGTTCAACAAAGTATTAGTTTTTATTTTTTTTTTAATAAAATATATAGGAAATATTCGGAACAAATAGATTTTTTGCTTATTCTAAAAAAAAGTTAATATAATAAGTAAATTCAAATAGTTTAATTAATCGTTCGGGTATCCGTGATTACCCTTTATATATAATTGAAATATACTTTTATCTATAAAAATAACTCGATTTTAATCAAAATTCTTATATTTTTTTATCCATTGCAACCTTTTCTTTCAATAGTCTTCTTTAAATAAAGGTTTAAAAATTTTATTACTAAACTTATTTTCAGATTTACGAAGACGTTGCCTTACTATTTCTACATTAAACCCAACATCTCTTTCTTTCATTTTTTTTGTATTTAAATAGCTGTTATATTATATTCTTTCTTTGCTATCTTTATAATCTTGTCATCTTGTTTTACAATTATTACATAAGGCTATTTCAGTCTTTCTGAAGTATTTAAGTTCTAATTTTCATGATATCTTTTAATCTAATAAATAGCTATAAACTTATTACAGCATACTTGTTTAACAATAAATCTAAAACTAAACTTTGGACTAGCTGGATACTTATGTAAAAAGATAATTTCATATCATTTTTCTAAAGAAAACTCTATTTTTCAAGCAAAAGTTTGATAATTATCAAAATTTTTTTTTGTATTATTGACACTTATAAATTTATAGGTGATTATGTATTGTATTACATTATATTTTTAGAAAATTTAAGAGATAGTTATATAATAATTTTAGATGATCTCAGATAATTAGATACTTATAACTGCTATTGTAAGACTATAAGATAATCAGACAATTACTTTGTGAGAAGATATTATAAAAGATTGAAATGCTTATTGTAAAATATTTGTAGCTAAACAAAAAATTATTATTAATAAACATGATTTAAAAATATAAATATGAACTAATACTATATACTTAATATTTTATTTGAAATTGTTAAAGTTAATGAATTGTTATCTCTAGTAATTTAAATATTTTTTTCTTGTTCTTTGCAGTTATTTTAGTAATAAAATTTAAATATTTCTTCAAATAAAGAATTATTCTATCTTTTTATTTAGAAAACATTTTTTTTTTCCCTTTTTTTTTCCTAATTCTTTAATATATAATTTATAATATGTCTTGAAATTATTCTTATTAAGTTTAATTTCAGATCTAACAATAAGTTGAATTAATATAGAAGGAAGTGACATCTTGAAAATATACCTAAAAATCTAAGATATTTAAATGATGCATTATTTTAAATATAAACAAAAAAAATTAATGAATTTACTAGATTTTGTGTAACTGTAAATTTGAAATCTTTTTTAGATTCAGTGTGATAGATAAAAAATATTTCTTTTTTTAAAAAAATTTCAGTAGACAAAAAATTATTTTTTAAAAAAATTTCTTTGGGATTCAGTATGATAGACAAAAAAATATTTCTTTTTTTATGAAAAAATTCAAAATTTAACGTAGCGGATGAAAAATTCTTTTTAAAAAAATTTCTTTAGGATTTAACATAGCAGACTGAAAAATATTTGTTTTTTTTTTTAGAATTTAGCATAATAAATAAAAAATATTCATTTTTTTTTTTTTAGATTTTAGCATAAAAGATGAAAAATAACATTTTTTATTTTTTTTAGATTTTAGTGTAGTGGATGAAAAATTCATTTTTTATATTTTTTTTAAATTTCAGTATGGTATACAAGAATTTTTTTTTATATTTCTTTAGATTTTGATGTGAAACTTCAAAAAAGATTTTTTAAATATATTTAATTTTAGTGTGATAAAAATAAGAATATTCTTTTTTATATATTTCTTGAGTTTTAGCGTAAAAGACTTTAGAAATTAAAATAATAATTTTTTTATTAATTATTAGGGTCATAGATGCCTGCTGAAACCTTCTCAAAATAATTTTATCATACTTTTTTCTATGTTTTAATATAGTTTTGATAGTTTTAGCTTTTGTCGTATCAAATGGGTTTCGTCGTATCTCTTATTATGATTTTAATATAGTTTCATCTAAGTTTTGACTGTTATTAAGGGGTTTCATCTCTCATCTATAATTAGGGCAAAGATAAAAAACTTCAATATATAAAAATAATTTTAAAAAAATGTCTAAGACGCACAAAATATTCTAAATCTTTTAAATTTAGAAGGACATGTTTATATAATAATTAACAATGATGGATAATATATCAGATGCGAATGTAAAATCTGTAAATATCATCTGTGTATAATACTGACTATACTTGTAGTTTTTCGCAAATATAATAATTAGTAAATAATGTGAAGTACTACGCTAAAAATGTAAATATTATATAATATTATATCATAAAATTTGCATAAGTTTACAAATCATAAATCTTATGTAATATTTTACATTAAAAATATTTCTAATGCAGTTAAATTAGAACAGGTTGTTGATTTATATATAAGAGCAAATAATAATACTATTTCTTTTTAAAATAAATTGAATGATGAAACTTTAACAATTTATATTGATTTATCTATCTTAAACAACTAAAATTTAATAATTTTCAAAACTTTCAAATGACGAATTCAAAAATTTTAACCATTATATCTTTAGTAAGAAATAAATAATAAATCAATCACAAGAATTTAACTTGTAAAAAGATCTGCAAAAAACTAGTTCTAAAGAATTCTGTATATTTTTCTTTTATGAAGATTTTTGGAAGTATCACATATAGAGGTTATAATGATAGTAAAGATTAAAATCTAGTTATTCTTATAAAAGTTACTTAAAAAAAGAAATCTTCTTTTGTAAAAGATAATAAATCTGAAATTGAAAAAGAGAGTCATAAATCTTTTTTATGTAAAAATAAAGATAAAAAAGATAAAAATAAGGAGAATAATAAAAAACAAAAAATCTAAAAGTCGACAACATCACCATTCTTCTTCATTTTATAATAATCTATCATTTTCAAGTTTTGAATCTAGCGATTTTAGCTCTTATCTAAAGTTAATTCTATAATAGAAATATTAATAATACTCAGATTCCTGTTGATAACAAAGAATTTTAACTATTCAAAGAATTAAAAGAAGTATTTTGATCTATAGGATTTACTTCAAGACTATAAAAAGTAAGATTTATTGATTTATTTACTTTTAAGGAGAAGATCAAGGCTCTCAAAATTGGCTAAATTTATATAACAATGTATAAAAAACAAATGGAATTTCTGACTGATGACGTCTGACACTTGCTTCATCTTTTTTTAAAGAATCTGCTCTTATTTAGTTTAATAAAACTAAAAAATGATAAAAATATTCACTACTAGGATAATTAAAAAAATTGATAACATAAACATAGCTCTTTTGTATATCAATTTAATAAATACTATTGCATAACTCATAGAAGGATTCAATAGTATTATACACTTTAATATTATAAATAACGTTTAAGATAATCAGTTAAAGAATATACTATCAAAGTAGAATCTTTATATTTAAATTTAAATCCTGACCATAATACATTTAAGGATAAAAAAAATTAAACAATTTTTACAAGGACTTTGATCAGAATTCTATATTACAATTGCTGCTGCTGTATCTTATGATATGGAGAAAACAATTGATAGAACTCGTTCTGTAGAGGCTGTTCTTTTCAAAGACACCATTTTATCAGAATATTCTCTCAATAAAACTTATATTAGTAAATATGATAAAGAAGTTGAAGAAAATTCTAAAAATATGCAATAATTGATTGATGAAAATAATGCAAAATTAATAAAAAACTGCAGTTAATTATAATTTAACAACGTGAGTTTTGCATCTTTTATGGATGATAGTAATAGTAGCTATTAATATTTATATTACTAAAAAAGGGTTATCATTTTCTAAAGTAATGGAAAGTGAAAATCATATTTGTCTTAAGGTATTGAGAAAAATAATTAAAATAATTTGTAATAGACAAAAAATAATTATTTTCTTTTATTTTTAAATTATTAATATATTACTAGATATGGTATCTATTTATAAATGGGCTGGAATTTTGAAGGGAAATTTTGAATTACAATTAAATTCCCCAGGACCACTTTATGCAAATGCAGCTAAATCCAACTACACAACAGCAGTAGCCTATTTTTTCTTGCTATTATAAAAGCACACTTCAATTAAAAAAAAAATTGCATTATTGTGACGCATTTAAGATTCCTTATAATGTTGACAAAAATCCTGAAGATGCACGTCAGATTTGTGGAATTATCATAAAAATTAATTAATAAAATCCCGAAATAAAAATATTTTTTAAATTAGCGAAGACAATTATTAATTAATAAATAATAAAATACAAGCCTCCGATTCTTAAAAACTACTAATCTAATTGCTTTTTTGAGACTAAGTATTTCGATTGCTTGCAAAAGTTACGTATAATTGGTAATTTAAGATCGAGTTTAGTTTTTATACAAACTTGCATCTGAGGGTTAAGAGATCTAATGAAAATTTTTTTGTAAAAACGTTTGGTCACTTTCTGATTGATTATCGTTACACAAATTTTAATTAGTGATCGATACGTGATCTGAAATGTCCCACCGACTGATGACGTCATTAAAATATTCTATATAAAAAAAATCTAATTACATCTCTAATTTAAAAATATTTTAATTTTCATGAGAATATCATTAAAAAAAAAAAATATAAAAAACACTTTAAATAAATTTATCAACCATTAATTTTTGTATTTATTCACCATAAATTCATCATGTTCTTTCAAAATGTGTCCACCTGGACTGACATCATGATGTCGAGGAATTCCAAGGTTCAAAAATGGAGGATAGGTTGCTTTTCCATCTCCATCTGCCCAATCATAATCTATAAAGACAACTTTAGTATTACCATTTGTAATTTTGGTAAGGATATTTGAATGGCGTAAATCACCATGAACATAACCCGCTTGATGCATTTTCTGCGTAGCTGTGCATATTTGCTGTTGAATTTGTGCCGAAGGTTTCTCAGAGATTGCTTCGTAACCATCTAGATACTCCATTACTACCATGAACCAACCACCTGAAACTTTCTCAATTCCAAACAGCTTTGGTGCTATATCTAGATTTGCACAAACAAGATGTGCATCGTTCCCATATTTTTTAGCGAATTTAACAATTAATTGACTTGGAAGATCTTCGTCCTCAAGTTCAATCAAAAACAATAACTTATCCTCATGCAATTGCTTGATATATCGAAAATTAATTTTTAAATTTGTATCCAAATGTTTGTATGATCTGATATATGGAAATGAAAGTTGGGATGGTTCATCATGAGAAGGATTTTTGTAGTATTCTCCAAGATTATCTAATGCTTTTTTGTATGCAGCAAAAAATTTTGCCACTGATAACATGTATTCCTGATAATGTTGTGTAAATAAAAGTGGAAGAGTAGGTGATAACGGATCACAAAGAAATTTATTTCCTTGAATTGCACCAGCCATGCCAATGTATGGACCTGTAAATCAATACATTTTGTTTATTTTTCAAAAAATAACCATTGTTATTTCATATAAGTGAATCAAAATGATTAATTTGAAAATTTTTGATGCCAACCTGCTAAATATAGTAATATACAAGGTAGACGAATGATACTTCTAGTATCAGTTGAAAATTCATTTGCCACATGTTTTGCATAATAAACTAACGTCTGGTTAGCAGGACAACAATTAACAGTTCCCATCTCTGGTTTAACTTCCAAATTGCTTAACATATATTTTCCATTTCCTCCCAATATAGTTCCATCTGTGGTAATATTATTATAAGTGTATTGATTTAGTGCTATTTTATATGTCTCATAAATACAAGTTTTAAAACTTTCTCTTCTCTCATCTTCAGAGGAAAAAGTAATTCCTGACATTTCATAGTTGATTTTCAATGCAAAATCGTAATCACGAGCAGTTGGATTTATATATCTTAAATCATCATATAAGTTTGCAATAATTTCATGTTGCAATGTTACAGGGTTTCCCGAGGCATCGGCGGGTCTATGATTGTAAAATGCATATTCAGAGTTTTCTAATTGAATTTTTCTCCAGTTTATTGGCTTTGCAGCTTCACTAGGTGAAAACTCAGAACCTTTTATTTTTTTAATATATGCTTCTTCCTGGTCATTTTCAGGTTTGCGTTTCAATGATTCTTTTCTCATGAAATCCAATGTGAACAATGATAGAAAAAGAAAGGTAATCAAAAAAAAAGTGCAAGTCAGTTAAAAATGATAAACGGTATAATAAATAGATAAACAAATAAAAGAGAACGTAATGAGTGAAAAATAATATTTTTTTTTTTTTATGCAATTTTTTCATTACCTTTCCCTCCAGCGAACTCTCTCAACGCCTTCCCCCACTCCTTCACCTGCTCCGTCCAATCTTTTTTGTCTTTCTCCAATTCTTTCTTTTCTTCCAACAACCTATATTTCCGCTCTTCCAAGTTCTTCTTCACTTCTTCATTCAAGTTCTCTTCTTCCAACCTATCTTCCAACTCGTTCAACTTCACTCCTTTGTATTTCCCCACTTCCCACTTCTCCAACTTCTCTTCACACTTCTCCAACTTCTTCTTCGTACTTTTCTTCTACTTTTTCGTATGTTGACATTTTTAAAAATGTGTTACAACTAGGGATGGGAACGATCCGATCCAGACCGAAAGACCATTGGTCCGGTCATAGGACCGGTCTTATACCAATCTTTTTT